GCCTTTTGTCTAAGTCAAACCCCGAAGATTTAAAGTGCTTCTTAAGGTCAGATCCTGTGATATATATGGCTTATAAGCTCCTTTTACTGTATAGTGTCTCCATGTTACATCCAGGTATACCCAATGAATTAGCACACCACTGAAAAGTTATTTTATTACAGTAATTTATATCAAATGAAACAATTGACATAGACTAAATTAGCAGAAGCTGACGTCTTCCAACGTTTAAGCCTATTAGCTATTCTTGTTATCTGCTAACAGATGATGACAGAGTTAAATTATGACATCAAACCATTAAAAGAAAAATATGTTGCCTTGGTTTTAGCCAATAATAGGTTAGCTTCTGCCTGCTCCTGTTAGGTTAACCTATTTCACCAGTTTTTGTGAACCTGAACTTGTATTACATGTAGTTAAAGTTGGTAAAGATAGTGTTGATTCTTTTACATCTATGCTGTGTTTAAAGAATCATATGGGAATCTCTGTTCTGTAGCATTGGAGACAACCTAAGAATAATGCACAGTAAGACAGAGCAGATACTTTGGTTGGTCTCAGTCAAACATCAGTCTTATGATTAGAATCAGTTCTTAAGGAAGAGTCCCATTCATGCATGGTCAGGTTTGTTATTACCCAAAAAAGAAAGGCAATGAGTGCAATCGTTTAGACCCCTTTTTAAGGCTTTAGAAGGCGTCTGCATATAACTGGCTCTACAACAGAAAGCATAACTTTTTATTGTTTGGTGAAAGAAACGTTTAGTCAGTTTGAATAAGTAGTGCAAAAACTTTGATGTGCATAAGTGTTCTCTGGCCAATGACCAGAGCTATTAAAAACTTTATTTTTGTTTACTCAATGGACACGCTGCACAGAAAATTACCCATTGGTGACAAAAACAGTTAACACCAAACTATGACCTTGTTACTACTTCTTCAGATTGACTCCTAAGATCTTTTGGGAGGAAGAACTCCATCCATCCATCCATCCATCCATCCATCCATCCATCCATCCATCCATCCATCCATCCATCCATCCATCCATCCATCCATCCATCCATGATCTTACCTTTTGTTTCTGAATGAAGTCCATGTTGCACTGACCAAGTCCTTCAGAGTCTCCATCTCCTTCACCCTGTGTATCCTGATGCTCAGTCTGAGCTGCTCTTTTCAACTCCAAGTATAGCTCCAAATGTTTACAACGAAGTATGGTCACTGAGTAGTTGAAATTTCCTTTTCTTAAGGTTCAAAGCTCCCTTTGTAAATCTTTTCTGTCACTTAAACTCCATGTTAACCAAACAGCCATCTTTTTTAGGTGAAACACTCTGACTTTAAACAGCAGGTTACTTTTTTCTCCCACATGTTTAAAGCAGATGTTTTAGCTGTGGTTGGCCTTCCTCTAATACCTCCTGTTTTGAATGAAAATACAGTTGTACAGTAGTTTTATGGGAGGATTTGATAAAACAAACATTTTTAACAAGTGTATCAGACTGTATTGTGCCACGTCAGGACTTTCATGGTCACCCCATGTAGCTAAACAGGCATACCTAAAATCCGGAAACTTTTAACACAAAATAGTGAAGTTGTGCAAAAACAAATCAAAAGAACAGATAGAGTTATCGTGAGTAATTTGCTTGTCAGGGTGGTTCGGTGTGCAGTGCCTAATCCTGTCTCCCTAGACTCAACATCTCTGAATGGAAAGAGTCATTTAAAGATGGTATACCTTAAACTATCGGGCATTTTCAGAGTTAATACTCATTCAGGCTGTGGCGTTCCAATTATGCTCAAGCTGTACTAAAAAAACACAAAGGGATGATAAGAAAATATCCCCCATACCATTATGCAACCACGACAAGTCAGCCAGAGCCTTGGCCAGGCAGGATGACTCCATGCTTCCACGCTGCCAAATTCTGACCTCACCATGTGAATGTTAAAGCTGGAACCTGCTCTGGTCGTTTGTCATCCGCATAAAGAAAAGCTTGTTTCTGCCTATTTCGGTTGTAATTACAGCTAATCCCAGCGTTTGTTGTCTTTTCATCATGTCTGACATCATCAGGAGATTGTTACATACAAATCTAGCAATTAGTGGATGTTTTCATCTATTTTGAACATTTAACTGTAAAGCTGAGTCACTGTTGACTCAGATCGATGTTGCGCCAAAAGCCTAAAGACGTCTGATTTGCTGTTTGTGTTGATAAGCAACGGTTGTACCTTTAAATTAGCCAGCCTGTAGCAGTATTCAATGCAGGTGCAGCAGATTCTAAAACAGCTTCTTCCCCACCGCCATCAGACTGCTGAACTGTTGTGAAAACTCTTAATCATGTCCCTGACAAGATTAAGGTGGAAAAAGGGTCCCAGTGTTCACCTCACTCTTCTAGCTGGTCCATCTTCACGAGTCGTTTTTCACAATGGTGGTCATACAAACAAAACAAGCCGGTAAGGTACCAAACAGGAAATACGCATAGTGTAGAGTGGATGTAGATTTGACCAATCAGAGGCCTCCTGTCTGAAGCACTGTCTGCGGTCACCTACAATTTAGGAGAGGTGCAGCTAAGTGTCTGCAGAAGAGGCGCATTTGTTTTAACTGCAACACACAACCAGACGACCTGGTTTCTGAGAATAAACCAGCCTTAAGTCTGTGAACATCAAAGATGTTAGTATATTTCTCATTCTACCTTGTTAACTCTCAGCACAATTGTGGACATTTTGTGGACTGTTTTCCATATCACCAATGATCTACAACAGAGGTCATGGCTGACCGGACCATGGTCTGGATCCAGACTCACCTGCTGGCTAATCCGGACCCAACCTGATTTAAAACATTTATAAATTGCTGCATTTTTTCCGACGACATTGTCTAATTTCACTTATGCTGCTTCTCCTGTTAAAATGGTAAAGCCTTCCAGAGCGTCCAACACCAGGCTACATGTGATAGAAATTAGCCAATGAGCTGTCAGTCAGTCTGGGTTGCTGCTGCTGCTACTTTCAGACACAGCAGGCAAACCTGTGGGAAGCGGGGCGATGGGAAAGAAGGAGAAGATGATGAGAAAACGTGAAAGAAAGTGTGAACTGCTGGAAGAACTGCGGTGAACTGGTGAAAGAAAAGTGAAATGGTGCTCAAAGATGACCCTGAACATTTAGAGGATGTTTGGCTCAACCTGCTGCTGTGAAGCAGGATTCTCCACCATGAACAGAATCAGAAATAAATATCGATCTGATATGTGATTGAGAATGGCTTTGTCGCCAATCAAACCCAGGTTTAAAGCCTTGCAGGGCAGCATAAAGCCCACTGCTCTCATTAAGACAGAAAACAGAAGAAAACAAACGGTCAGATCAGGTGTTTTATAAAATATTTGAATGAGGAAATTGTCAGTGTACTAAATTGAACGATTGTCGTTCCCTACTTAAAAAAAACACTTTAGATTTTAAAATGGAAAAAAAAATTATATATATATATTTTTTATTTAAAAAGTCAATGTATAACATGGATGCATAAACACCTTATTTTATTTCAGTGTTAGATTATTTTCAAACTAACAGATTATAATAAAAAATGTCTCCGGTCCTTTACTGGTTGTTGATTTTCTTTATTTGGAACCTGTTGATTTTTAATTGGCTACCCCTGATCTAAAATAAGCTTTTTTTTTTAAACTACTTTTTTTTTAACTTTTTTTTCCTAGAGTGAGCAATGAAGACAAACACGCGTGCATCTAGGGTTCATTACTTTTAATCAATTCAGCTAGCTACAAAATGTCCACCACTGCACACACTGACAGGATACAGAGAGGGAGTCTTTACTATGACATGCATTGAGGACATCAATCTCACAGTTGATCCTATTGGGTCATTCAGGTTTAGGGTTTTTATTCACCTTACTGGAACTACGGAACATTTTGGCGATTTGGTGTGCATAGCTCTAAAGTACAGAAGCAAAAGTAATAAAAAAAAAGGGAAAGAAAACTTGGTATTTTTTTGTTTAGTTTTAAGGTGTAGTTATTGTCATTTATTAATACCAGTATTTTACCAATAACAAACCACACAGGGAGAATAAACTTACAGATACAGTCTTCTTATAAAAGTAAGGTCTCTCAGAAATATTGTGTCTTTGCTTTACATTGCAAACTTTTATTTTTTTTTTTTTCAGAGCATCCAAAACCTATGATACAGTACACAGCCAGTCCTCCTCTTTCAACACATAATCAACATCTTCATCAATGAACTGCATAATTGTTTAGAAAACAGGTCATTTTTTTTGCAACACAACCCCAAAGTCCTCATATTTTCTTCACCTTTATCTCACCTTTTTTGATCCCCTTTGCATTTATTGTACAACGAGATGGTCACAGTCGGTAAATATATCGAGACAGAAAAAGTGGCACTATTGCAAACTTGCAGGAGTATGGAACGAACAACTGTGTCCTAATACTGAGCATGCGTCTTGTCAATTTGCTACTGCCGTGTTATTGTTTTTTATATATATTTTTCAGACAGGTTTTATTAATGAGACTAAAAACTACCATTTGTCATGCAGAGAACGCACAATTCACATCACTTGGAATGCAATGTCTAATACAGCTACAGAGAGTCTAGTTGCACATTGTCTAAACAGTAACTCAGTATGATTGCAATTAAGGAAAAATGTATCAGCAACTGTCTTCTTTTTGATTGTAAGTGCTCTTTGCAATCTCTTTTAGCTGTACTGCTGCATGGTTACCATCATCATCATCACATTACAGATGTCTTTTAATCACTCTTGTCCCCTCTGTTGTCATGACAACACCAAATAAGGAGCATGACAGTAGCCTAAATGGAATGACATAGCTTTACAAAGACAATACTGAGATACTGGAAAGGAAAAGAAGAAAACAAACAGCTTGTTTAGCATTCCTATTATATACTTATCATCCAGAGCAGTGTATTATATCTCATATATATATATATATATATATATATATATATATATATATATATATATATATATATATATATAATA